CTTGTTCAATCTTTAATTTCTTGCCACCTGGCAACATAAGGGTCTACCATGTCTTCCAAGTTGTTAAGCAGCTCACCTATACTGATCAATGAAACTTTCATTGATCCAGGTTCTTTGCCTTATACAAACAATTGAGAACTCATAGAACTCACATGCATATTCAACTTTTAACTGAAATGAGCAAAGAAATAAGAATATGTTAACACAATAGGTTACAAACCTCAAGTCGTGTGCTAGTGATAAACAATAAGTTTTATTCTTGATTAGTTCTTGAAACTTTTTCAAGATCTTTAAGATTCATACTAACCTCTTGACATATAAGATTCTCTTGTCATGAATCATTCATTGACAAACAAATATTCAAGAGTTAGTACGAATTCTTATCAAAATAAACACTTCATACAATTAGTCTTAGTTGATCTTTGTTATTACCAAGATATCACAACTTATCAATTTTAAATGTACAAAAGCAAAAACATTTTACTCTACATTTGATGGATGTTTTAAACATTTTTAAGATTATGTCACTCAAGACACAATGTTGAAATATGACTCTTTGTATGTTGGGGCTCATTAAACTCCAACATTAAAGTCATGGCATTTAATCTAAAATTGGATAACAATTTGCAACTCATGACACATGTAACATCCACATTAATATCCAATACGAACCCACTTTACATATCATGTAAAGTGTAACCTAACATGCGGTGCGACGTCTAGTATAACAATGATGATTAGTTGTTTGTATTATTGTATCCTAGTTGGTCGATGTATGTTGTAAGATCAAAAATACCTTACAAATGTCATGTGCTCACCGACTGTTATTCCTAAGTTCCAACGGACATGAATAGACGTATGACAAACAAGGTGCACAATCATTATTTGTTGATTATTAAACGTATGACTAAACACGAATGACATATGTATGTGGGACCATATTGAGTATATTATAATTTGTGAAAGAACATTAACGTGAACTTTTTCCTAACATACAAAAATGCAAAGAAGGAAAATCTGGAGGAGTGAAAGACTAAAACGTTAAAAAAAAATTGTGGCAGATGATTTGGGTACGAAAGTTAATGCGTCAAAAATACGTTTTCTGCCCAGCACTTATCTGGACATGACACTTCACCACTTTAAATTATTATTTTTGCCTTTTTGGATCAACTTTATTCTTTTCGTCCAAATGAGGCATATTTTAAATTTGTAATACATGGCTAAATGAGTGATTCCGTATAAGTTAATGCTATTTTACTGGTGATTTAAAATAATTTAATTTTTATTCTGAAAATATTATTATTATTTGAAATTTTCATTAAAAAAATATTTTTATACATAAACATTTTCTTATAATTTCTAAAATTACAAAAGTTTTAAAGAACTTTTTTTTCTAAACAATTAAGCATATATATATATATATATATATATATATATATATATATATATATATATATATATATATATATATCATCAATAAAGGCCTAAAAATAATAAATGCTGTTTTATTTATTATTTATTTCAAAATATTAACGTCTATTCATATATTACAAGTTTTGGTTAAAAAAAAGAAAAGACAACCATTTATATTATGACATATGGCGTGACCAATATTTGTGTGAGATGGAACAAATCGAAGGAGTTTGTTGATTTTTCTTTTTTCTTTTTATAATTTTTTTTGAGGATTTTTTTGGTTGAGTGAGAATGGGAAATAGTTCAATGGGCATCAAAATTTTCAAATTTTAGAATAGTTACTTTCTTAGATATGGTTGTTAAAGTTATTTTATTATCACAAAATATATATGCCTTATGAAATTATGCAAAATTTGGTTGATTATAATCCGTTCAACAACTTTTACACGTCTCATATTTAACTTAATTTTTAAAGATCACTCATTTGTTCCATTTAGATAAAGCATAACTTAAATTGGTCGATTTTAAATAAATTGATTGGCATAACCATTTTTATCTATATCTAATTAACTTTAATTATGATTATCACCTAACATTTTTTCTTTATATCATCTCAGTTAGAAAAATGTTAAAATATTTACCTAGTAATTAAATATCATCTCAATGTGAAATCAAACATTACAATGTCTAAGTCGAAAGAGATATAAAAATAATAATAATAATAATAATAAGCGGATACTATGTCAACGTTTTAAGAATTTTTTGTGCTCGATATCTATTGAAGATAACGTTGGCACTTGGCAAACCCATCCACAAATGACACGTCATTATTCTAACCAATTAGGTTTTCATGAAATTTAATTTTAGTGGATCTACTCAGCCAAACGGATATATGCATGCATATTTTTAAAACATATATCTAACTTATAGTTTTATACATAGCTTGAATAAATAAATAAATAAATAAATAAAGCCACTAGCCGTTTCCTAATTAGAGTTAAAACACTGCATTTGACACAATTATGACTATTTTATATTTGTCTAATAAATATCTAAATTATTAAAAATTAATTAATGGTTATTTTAACATTAACAAATATAATGAATGTTATTTAAAATTACAACATCTGAAAATCGACCTTAAATTTCGATTTCAGTCTTAAAGAGATCAAATTTAAAGTAAAATGTATCATAATACCGCAAGATCTATTATAAGTTTCCAAAATCTTATTACTAGTCGGTATAATCCTTATACTTATTAATAATTGACATCCTAAAGCTTACACTTAATGTAGATTTTGTATTCGAAAATTTGATGCAAAGCATTGAACGAAACCATGAAGAGCCTCCGAATTCTTTCTATTCAACTCAAAATCAACATGTTAATCTCTTTGTTATACAATTTGTTTTTTATTTTTAACGCTTTGATTCTCTATTTTATAATAAATATATGTTCTTTATGTTAAATTTCTAAACTTACTCATATTTTAAGTTTTTTTTATAACTTATTAATAGATAAATAGAGATACACTGAATATTTTCATGTTTATAACTTTTTGTAAGGATTTCAAATTTTGATTGGATCTTACCATTAATCCACTTTACAAAACAAAAATAATAGATAAAAAAATGAAAATTTGATTTTGAAAACTTTATATATAATTCATATAAAACTGAAAACTATTACTTTATATTTGATAGTTGATATAATAATTGTAGTTATATTTATTTTGTTTTGTTATTAATATGTGTATTTATTAATATTTATAGATAGACCCTTTTTATAAGTATCTTTATATTTTTTTATTGATGTGTTAATTTATAACTTAATAGATAATTAATTTGATCGACTAATAAAGTTAATAACTAACACACAATGAATATATATATATATATATATATATATATATATATATATATATATATATATATATATATATATATATATATATATATATATATATGAGACTATTATATTTTACAAGATACGAAAGAGCAATCTTAATCATTTATTTTGGAGAGAAAAAAAATATTTTTAAAATACAAATAAATGAACATTTTCAAAAAAAAAATTAATATTATTTTCATTATTTATTTTATCAAAAAAAAATAATGATAAATAAATAAATAAATTGCATTTTTTTAGATATACTTTAAATATTATAATACAATATTATACTATACATACTCAAATCGAATTTTTAGAATATTAGAATATTCTAGTAGAATATCAAACTATAAATATTCAAAAAATTCTAATAAAATACTAAAATATTCTAGAAAATCTAACAATTCAAGTAGAATATTAGAATATTATAACATATCTAACAATTTTAGTAGAATATTAGAATATTGTAACATTCTAAAACTTCGATTTGATTATTTACAATGTAATATTCTATTAGAACATTTCATTTATATTTCGGAAGAAAAACGATGATTTATTTTATTTATTTATTTTTTAATTTTTTGGACAAATTAAATAATGAAAATAATATCTAGAAATTTTTTTCTTTTATTTTGCAATTTATATTTTTTTTTATCTCCAAGATGATTGGCTAGGATCGCATTCCCATGTCTCACAAAATTAGCATGATCTTAAATGAACCTCTACACACACGTGTGTGTGTGTGTATATATATATATATATATATATATATATATATATATATATATATATATATATATATATATATATAGAGAGAGAGAGAGAGAGAGAGGAGGGGGTGGGGGGTGAGGCAGAGATAGGTTTAATATAGATAAAAAAAGAGAAATTAAATATCCTCCTAGTTATTGTGATAATAACATGTGATATATGTTAAATCTTTTGGAATAATAACATGTGATATCTGATAAATCTTTTTTAATTTTCTCTTTTAATTTTGATACGATGAAAATAGATAGATATAAATAAAAATACAGAAAGATATATGGTTTCTCAAAAAATGAAAAAAAAAAAAAAAACAATTTCATGAACAAATTTAATACATGTGTATGTAGATCATAATGCTAATTTAAGCAAAAACTCTCTTTAAAAAAAGTAGAATTTATTTTTTCTTGATAAAAGAAACTAAATTTATGCAGCAATCATAAACATTCAAATTCACATGCGAATATAAGTACATTCAAATTTGAATATAAGTAAATAATTTTGATTTTTTTTGTTTTTGTTTTTACCATTTCATAGGTTCAATAATTTATAAAGTAAATTATTTAGATTTATAAATAAAATTTACTCAAATCAAATGTAAATATGAACATTTATTCTTCAATATGTCCACATCAATAATCATAGACAATTGATATTCTATGAATGAATTAATATATTAAAAATGTTTTTCTCTAGTTTTGATTTACACGCGTGAATGTAACTCAAACTGAAATTTTAATTTTTTTTAGATAAGTATGAATATTTTATTATCGAAGACAAAAAATATGAATTTAAATATTTATAATTATTTTTTCTGATAAAAAATAAGTCCAAAATCAAAAAACAAAAGATATATTATAATCTTGTGTGTGTATATATATATATATATATATATATATATATATATATATATATATATATATATATATATATATATATATATATATATATATTAACAAAATCATCTCTGCATATCACCCTAGGCCGAAACTTCATTGCTTCACGCAAATTTAAACCCTTCACTGCATAGTCAGTTTCGTTTCCCCATTTTCCGATTCTGTTTACGTCGGAGCTCTGCCGTCCTCCGCCACAAAGGTCATGGGGACGTCCTTAATTCTTTCAGATCTCGGCACTGAAATCATAATTCCAGTTTGCGCTCTCGTCGGAATCGTTTTCTCTCTCTTCCAGTGGTTTCTCGTCTCCAAAGTTAAGCTGTCGCTGGATGGATCAGGCGGCAAGAATGCGTTCACGGAATCGTTGATTGAGGAAGAAGAAGGAATCAACGACCACAACGTCGTTCAGAAATGTGCTGAAATTCAGAACGCTATCTCTGAAGGTAATTTATAGTTCTTAGATTTCTATAGTTTGTAAAATCAAATATGTAGTTGTAAATCCTTTAAATTTTATCCGTATAATTCAGATATTCTGTATTATATAAGTAGTTTTCAATTTTCATTCATCCGTAAGTTAAAGTTTACTTGTTCTTATTTATTTTTGATTCCGTAATTGGAATATTCTTCATGTTCTCTGTTTCTTTTATACCAGTAAGATGATAACTCTATCCGTGAATTTTGATGCTGAGGATTTGCTAGTTAACTTCAATATTGTTGATATTATATATTTATATTCCTGTATTTTTCATCATGAATTGTAACATATAATCGATTAATTCAATTTCCATGAAGCTGGATTAACTTGAAGCTTATTTTGTCTGCTTAGCCTTATAAACAGTATTCTTAATTAGTAATAGTAGTGGTTGTTTGATTAATTCAACTATATGTTCCATCATAAACATGTGTTTCTTGAGTTAAACATATAATATGATCAACTATGTCAACATGATTAGTTCTTTACTCGTGCTATTTGACTGTTTATCCATTTCTATTGAATTTTACTTTTGTTATGCACATCTTCACAATTCCTCATCTGATTCCATTGTGGATCTAATTTGACAAGTATATTTCATGATATTGCAGGAGCAACCTCTTTCCTATTGACTGAATACAAATATGTTGGTATTTTCATGGTTGTTTTTGCTTTCATAATCTTTTTATTTCTTGGCTCTGTTGATGGATTTAGTACAAGTAGTCAACCATGTACATACAACATCACCAAGCAATGCAAGCCTGCTCTTTTCACAGCCATCTTCAGCACTGTATCCTTTATCCTAGGGGCTGTAACCTCTGTTATCTCTGGTTTTCTTGGAATGAAAATTGCCACATATGCAAATGCCAGAACTACCCTTGAAGCAAGAAAAGGTGTTGGAAAGGCTTTCATTGTTGCATTCCGTTCTGGAGCTGTCATGGGATTCCTCCTAGCTGCAAATGGTCTTCTTGTGTTGTATATCACCATCAATTTGTTCAAGATTTACTATGGTGATGATTGGGAAGGGCTTTTTGAAGCCATAACTGGTTATGGACTTGGTGGTTCTTCAATGGCTCTTTTTGGTAGAGTTGCTGGTGGTATTTATACAAAAGCTGCTGATGTTGGAGCTGATCTTGTTGGCAAAGTTGAGAGGAACATTCCAGAAGATGATCCAAGAAATCCAGCTGTAAACATTTCTTTTTTCTCTTAATACAACACTCAATGGTTGTTTCTCTTTGATTTAATGAGCTTAATCTGTATAAAAAGGAAGCTAAGAGTGATGGTTTGTTTGATGCAGGTGATTGCTGACAATGTTGGAGACAATGTTGGGGACATTGCTGGAATGGGATCTGATCTTTTTGGGTCATATGCTGAGTCATCATGTGCTGCTCTTGTTGTTGCTTCCATTTCTTCATTTGGAAACAACCATGAGTTCACTTCAATGATGTACCCTCTTCTTATCAGCTCTGTGGGCATTCTTGTGTGTCTTCTCACCACTTTGTTTGCCACTGACTTTTTTGAAGTCAAAACTGTGAAAGAAATTGAACCTGCTTTGAAAAACCAGCTCATTATTTCAACTATTTTGATGACAATTGGTATTGCACTTGTTAGCTGGATTGCCCTTCCTTCCTCCTTCACCATCTTCAATTTTGGAGCCCAGAAAGAAGTTAAAAACTGGTAAACTTCAGTTGGTAAATTTACTTGGTGTGTGTTTGGTTTTGAGGGATTCAAAGGAATTGGAATCGTGAATTCCATTCCGTGGTGTGTCAACGGAATTGAATTCTGGGAAATTCCTTTAAATCCATGTTTAAGGGATTTATTGACAACAAAGACCTTATATTTTGTGTTTTTTCCAGATTAAACCTCAAATTTATTTTTTGCCTGAAAAAGACCTTGTAAATTTTCATTTTTTCCGAAAAAGCCCTCAACTTTGTATTTTTTTTTTTTCTGAAAAAACCCTCAACCTTCTAAATGCTTCCAAATAAACCCTCAACTTTTTTAGTTTTCTCGAAAAACCCTCACGTTTTACAATTTTTTTTTGGAAGAAAATGACTCAAAGGGCCCGATCGGAAAAAAATGAAAAAATACAAGGCCTTTTCAGGCAAAAAATAAATTTGAGGTTTAATCCGGAAAAAACACAAAATATAAGGTATTTTTTGAGATTAACTCTAAACCTATTAAAAAACTACATTCCAATTTCTGTAATAGATTTATAAACCAAACAGAAATTAGTAAAGTCATGTGATTGAATTCCATTCCATTCCCTGTCAACCAAACACAAGACAAATTACAATTCCTTTGACATATTCCATTTCTTCCAAAAACAAGAAGTAAATGAAAAGGGTATTAATGGCATTTCATCATCATTCATAAACTCACCGAGTTCCACTTGCAGGCAACTCTTCTTATGTGTATGTGTTGGTTTATGGGCTGGCCTTATAATTGGATTTGTAACAGAGTACTACACTAGCAATGCATACAGGTAAACCTTTATTTTTATTTTCTATTTAATTTATTTTCAATTTACAAACTCTTCCATTCCAACTAACTCCATTCCATCTCCTAGCCCTGTGCAAGATGTTGCTGATTCTTGCCGAACTGGAGCCGCAACAAATGTCATTTTTGGCCTTGCTTTAGGATACAAATCAGTCATCATCCCAATCTTTGCAATAGCAATCAGTATCTTTGTTAGCTTCACTTTCGCCGCCATGTATGGAGTCGCTGTTGCCGCCCTCGGAATGCTGAGCACCATCGCCACCGGATTAGCCATTGATGCGTACGGTCCCATTAGTGACAACGCCGGCGGCATAGCCGAAATGGCCGGCATGAGCCACCGGATTCGCGAACGAACTGACGCCCTTGATGCCGCCGGAAACACCACCGCCGCCATCGGAAAGGTACACTGCTTCCTAAAACCCAATGACAGTCTTTAGCACCATAAGACTATGTTTGGCAGACTAGCTGAAAAGCTAGCTGGTAGCTATAAAGGCCATGTTTGGTGCTAATAAGCTAGCTTATTTTTTGAGTTTTTTTTAAGTTTTCATGTTTGACAAGCCAAAAAAGTAGCTTTTTAAAACACTAGCTTATAAAAAGCTACTTTTACCAAGCGCTAGATTGTAATTCTAAATTGGTTCTATATCTGTATTTTTTCCTAGGGTTTTGCGATCGGGTCTGCAGCGCTGGTGTCCCTAGCGCTTTTTGGCGCGTTTGTGAGCAGGGCGGAGATTACAACCGTAGACGTGTTGACTCCCAAAGTCTTTATCGGTTTAATTGTGGGGGCCATGCTTCCGTACTGGTTTTCCGCTATGACAATGAAGAGTGTGGGAAGTGCGGCTCTTAAGATGGTTGAAGAAGTGAGGAGGCAATTCAATACAATTCCCGGGTTAATGGAAGGTACAGCTAAGCCTGATTACGCGACATGTGTCAAGATCTCAACGGACGCTTCCATCAAAGAGATGATTCCTCCCGGTGCTCTTGTCATGTTGACTCCTCTTATTGTTGGGTATTTCTTCGGTGTGGAGACGCTCTCTGGTGTCCTTGCTGGATCTCTCGTCTCTGGTGTACAGGTAATTAAGTTTATTTGGTTAAATTCCATATTATTAATTTATAAGGATATATTGTTTCTCATTTTGTAAAATGTAGATTGCTATTTCTGCATCCAACACTGGTGGAGCTTGGGACAATGCGAAGAAATATATCGAGGTATATAATATATAATAATAATAATAATTAATAAACATTTTTTTATTGTTTCTTTTTGGTTATTTGATTATTTGATTATTACAACTTTATTTAGGCTGGTGCGTCTGAGCATGCGAGATCACTTGGACCGAAAGGGTCGGACCCACACAAGGCAGCTGTGATTGGGGACACTGTGGGGGACCCGCTAAAGGATACCTCTGGTCCGTCTCTTAATATTCTTATTAAGCTCATGGCTGTTGAATCGCTTGTGTTTGCTCCATTTTTTGCTGCACATGGAGGTCTTCTCTTCAAGATTTTCTAAGCTTGAAAATTATAGTAACTTTATCGCTTTTGTTGTCTCTAACTGTTGTTTTGGTCATTTTAGTGAATGTTGGTGCTTTTAATTTTCTCGAAATATGTGCGATTTAAAGGTTTGATCAACAATTAGAAAATTTTCCTAAAATGTGTGTGATTCGGTTAAAAAGTGTTGTACTTATCACACTTATTGGTAAATCTAAATGGAACACAGAAAAATTTGCTCCTAGTATTTTATCTAAATGGTATGCGATTATCCTGATTCAGTATAAATTTTTTATCACTGTTATGGATTGGTGAAATAATATTATTCAATAATAGTACACCTTTAGCAGTATTCATTGATTAATGTTACGTGTATTGAATGTTAAATAATATAACGCATGATTATCTTCTTTCAAATCAGAAAGAAAGATATAAACCTTATATGGGCGGATGAATAGCTTTATCGAGTAGTAGATAGATACTGGATAGGCATCACTATTAGTAAAATGAAGCCTTTCCACTTGTAAACATTAATAGAAAACCTCACATAGCCTAAATTTAATCATTTTTTCTCTATTTCTCTCTCTTAGGAGTAAAGTCGACATTTTATTTGGTCACCTGTCTTGTATGCCCAAGGGTTAATGACTTGTAAAAGTAATCTATTTTGCATCCTATACAAATTTAATTACTGAAATCTTTTTTTTTTGTACACGATTTACATTGAGGTAGCTAGTGTGGCAATTTCGGAATGGTACTCTTTTGGCTGATCAAAGAGTTAGAAATAACTTGTTAACCTATAGTTTGGTTGGCTATTCTTATAATTGGTATGTGTATAGGAATAAAAAAGTTAGTGTTAGTCAGTTGTCTTGGCTTTTTAAACCCTAATTTGACTATTGTGTTGTAATTGGAGTCTATTAGCATTATGCTAACCTTTTTATATTAATCATTTAGTTATTAAAAAAATGTAGGGAAGGTAGAAAGATTATAAAATGGAAGTAACTTGTTGAAACATGAAAGATATTTAAGGTGATCCCACTTCGGTGTTACATTCAAAACTCTATTAAGGGATTATGGTGATCCTACATTAGTGTTGCATCCAAAACTCACTTTAGCTTGTGGAAGCACGAAAGAGATTTAAGGTGATCCCATTTTGATGTTACTTTCAAAACTCTATTAATCTGTCTTTTATATATGGAGTATGGATGTTGCAAGCTAATTATTGTTTGTTGTTATGGGCTATAGTACCTGAAAACAAAAAGCATTTTTTTTTTCCTTTTGACAAGTGATATTATCTCTATAAAAATATTCTATGAACCAAACTAACTTTATTTTTTTAAAGAGATCATGGAATGTCATGTATAAGGGTGGCAAACATGTAATGTGGTGTTCAAGTTTGAAACTTAAATGTGTTGAGATAGGTTGAACCTAACATGACATGTTTAGTTATCGTGTCGTGTCAAATCGTATATTTTCATGTTAAGTTAGTGTCAAATTGGTGTGTTTAAAGTTTAGAACCTGTAAATATGCAATGTTGTTTTAGATTGAAACACTAATGGTGCGTTTGGTTGTAGAAAATTTTCCAGCTTTCTAGAAATTTTTTTCAAGAAAAACGGAAATTTTGAAAACACGTTCGGTTCGTTCATTTTTCCAAAATTTTCCAAGAAAATGAAAATTTCCAGTTTTCCAAATTGTATATAAATTAGAAAAGTAATTTTTACAGTTTTCCAAATTTATAAGATGGAAAATAAAAACTCCACCGGTTTCAACCAAACGTGTTTTCTAAAATTTTTATTGAAAATTGCAAATGAAAACTCAACTCTATTTTCTGAAAACATTTTCTTAGAAAATGAAAACAATTTTCCACAACCAAACGCACCATAAACATGTTGAAAGAGTTGGATATGTGGAAATGATAAAGTGAAAATCATGAAGGATTATTAGTTGGTAGGTGAAGAGGCAAAATTCAGAATAAGTTTATAAGATGTAAGTCACATTGGAGGGGAAGTAACCGAATGAGATTGTGAAGTATTAGATATTAATGAAAAAATGAAAACTACAAATAAGTCTTGACTTAGGGAGCTAATTACTGGTTTTTGTAACGACTCAACGTAAATGTTTCTTTTATTTTGATTTTGGGTTTACCCAATTTACCTAAAAGATTAAGAAAAGATGCATATAATTTAACAAATCATTTTCTTATTTAAAGTATAGATCCTAACATTACCTATTTAATTTAATATCATGTCATGTCAACAGGGAAGTAAACAAGTTGTAATATCTGATCTAAACGACAAAATTGCAAAAATTGTCCCTGTGATTGACAAAATTCTATGATTTTGGTCCAAATTTTTTTGATGGTGCATCAGTGGTCAATTTCAGTGGTCAATTTCAGATACTTTGTGTGGTTTTGGTCCTATGATTGATATTTTTGTGTGGTTTTGGTCTACACTCCACCTAAAATGACCAATATACCCTTACATATTTCATTTTTAATTTCTTTTCTTTTATTTATTATTGTTTTAATTAAAAGAAAAAAAAAAGAAATTACCACCCCCATTCCCACCCTACTCTCTCTCTCTCTCTCTCTCGCAACATAATCACTCTATAATCTCCCTTTCTTCTACTGGCTCTCGGAAACCACCACCTACACCACCACTGTCACCCCTGCTTGTGCAACACCTCCCCCTAGAAAACTCTGGTGATGATTGCTTGCGACCCAGACGCAAACTCCAGCGATGTGACCCACCTCCCACCACTCATTCGTCTTTTCTGGTAGCGTCATCGTAACGCTATATGTTTGTTTTCAGATATGCAAAGAATACCGACATACCATATCTGTTCTTTAAACATGTCGCTCTACAGATTCATACACGGGGAAGAAGAGAGACATGTTGAACCCCTCAAATCGAAGTCATCTTCTTTAAATTCGTTAATTTTCCATCGTTTCAGGTCTTTTTGGATGGTGAGAAGATGGTGCAGCTCGACGAAGCTTTTGGTTTGATTTTTCCAGTGAGATCTGGGAGGGCGAGGCATCTGGTATGGTTTTCCTGAAAAAAATCCGATGAATAGTAGTGAAGGGATATCAGATCGTGGTGGGGAATAGCGATGGTTGGTAGCAAATAATGGTGGGGAATGGTGATAGTGGCGGAAGAAGAGAGAAAGAGAGATTGTGTATAAGTGTGTGTGAGAGAGACTTTTAGTATATTTAATTATTTAAAAACATTAATATAAATATTAAAAAAGAGAAATTAAATATTCTCATACTATTTGTTCATACTTTTCCGTCTACCATATCAAATGTTGACATGTATCACATTTGATTAGATATTTAATGAAATTAATAATCATTTAATCCACTTGTCAACATTTGACATGGTAGGAAGAAATGTAGGAACAAATGGTAGGAGGATATTTAATTTCTTATTAAAAAATTAAAAAGATAAATTTAAAGGGTATAATAGTCTTTTTAAGTGTACAAGGACTATAAACACTAAAAAGATTCAAAATTAGACCACTATAAGGGTGTTTGGCTTATATTTTTAAGAGATAAAAGTTATTTTTGAAAAAGTTACAAAAAATTAGATTTTTCTGACTTTTTCAAAAAATCAGTTTTTCTTATATCCAAAATCTAAAAATAGTTTTTAAAATATTTTTACCAAATATTTTTAAATTTTATCTTTTTCAAAAAAACTTTTACTTAACACCACCTATGTACCACTATTTTTTTTTTGAATCAAAACCAAATAATTTTTTAGGCTCCCTCTAATGCATTGGTAATGTGTAGACTGTAGAGGTTTGTATCATATCGAAATATGCCAACCCTATAGACTCCATCTACCACGTTGGTAAACTTTAGCATTGCCTATGACGGCTGTCCTGTTGAGTTGTTGTACAGTATAACCTAAAAATGCAACCACGAGTCTCTAAAAATAGGGATAATGACTTGAAAGGGTAACAAACTTTTGACTTTTGTCACATTTAGTCACTAAACTTTTTTTCGTTATCTATTTGCCATTGAACTATTGAAACTGTTCACATTTTACCCTTATGACCGGCTGTTACCGGTCATAAGGGTAAAATGTGAACAGTATCAATAGTTTAGTGGCAAATAGATAATGGAAAAAAGTTTAGTGACTAAATGTGAACAAAATCGAAAGTTCATTTCCCTCTAAAAAATTCAATGACTAAATGTGAACAAACTTCCTATTGTATTATGTTTTAGCAAAACTATTTATTTTTGTTTAATTGTAGCAACATTTGTTGATGAAGAAATCTATGAAATAAAAAAATAAAATGTAACATCCGGATTTCCAGGTATCATCATTTAAGTATTTTTCTTTTGAGTTAAGAAGAGAGACTCGACGAGTTGACGCTTCAACTCGTCGAGTAAGGTCGCGACTGATGACTCGGATTAATGAATGGACTCGACGAGTCAGTGAGGCGACTCGACGAGTTCGCGCTATTGGCAGAAACCCTAAATCTTTGGGCTCGAGCCAAATTTAAAGGCATTTATGGCCTTCAATTGTGACTACCTTTCCCATAAGTGAGAACCCTAGCGAGCTTGAGTGTGTAGAGTGAGAGGAAGAGCTATCTTGAGCTTTTTGCTGTGATAGATGTGAACCCTTATAGGTTCAGAGAGCCGAGAATATGAAGTTTTAGTAGAGTAAACCTTGGGGGTTCAAAGTTAGGAATCATTTATGGTATATATAATTACTTTCATCTTACACATAGATATGAAGTATTTTATATCAATTACGTGCTATGTGTATATTATTTGAATACTTGTTGTCTATACTGGATGAACGATTTTATACATGTTTTAAAAGATTTAAACGGTATATTTATTTTATATCTACAAATATGTTGCGGATGAAACATGGGTAGATAAAATAGTTGGTGTGTGATGAAATAAAATGATGAGAGATATGTGATGATAGAAAGGTGGTGATAATTAGGTAAATAGATGATGATGAATATGTGATGTAGGATGAAAGGAGATACCATAACCTTTACCAGCAATGTGGCGATGTAGTCATCTACCAGAGTATAGATAGCGACCACGGACTATTCTAGATAACCCAGTGGAAACACCAGCAGACCAATAACCTGTAGGTGATGAATTACGAGTTCATGCGATGTTGTAACTACGTATTTATGTGGTGATACTCTAACCCCTTACTATGAATTACGATTTCAGACGATGTTGTAACTACATATTCATGGGATGTCACAAATTTCGCATGCCAAACCAATGGTCATAATTCACATCAGTGAGAATGGTTCATTTTTTTTGTAAAACCAAAATCAGATTGGAAATTTTGATTTTTTATTTCTGAAAATGTCAAACCATTGGTTTTTTTATTTCGGTTTTGGTTTTTTGTTTTTTTAAATATATTTTCAGGGTTTTGTTTTGTTTTTTTTTTATTTCATAGTTTTCTTTATCAACTAATTTTGCTACAATTTAACAAAAATAAATAATTTGCTAAAATATAATACAAGAGGAGGTTTGTTCACATTTAGTCATTGAACTTTTTAGAGGGAAACGAACTTTCGATTTTGTTCATATTTAGTCACTAAACTTTTTTTGTTATCTGTTTGCCATTGAACTATTGAAACTGTTCACATTTTACCCTTATGACCGGCAATAGCCGGTCATAAGGGTAAAATGTGAACAGTTTCAATAGTTCAATGGCAAATAGATAATGAAAAAAAGTTTAGTGACTAAATGTGACAAAAATCGAAAGTTTGTTACCCTTTCAGTCATTATCCCCTAAAAATATCGTTTTTGTCGAGTCTAACAAAATACAAAGCTTTTGAAAAGAAGGTACTTCCATAACTATATTTAAGAAAATATTTCCTTTTTGAATTTTAGTGTTTAATAATAAGTTAACGAGTTAAACGAGTTATTCATTCCTATCGTCGCCTCCACATCCATTTTCTTCTTCACAGACACTGGTTTTCATCTCTCATTCCCCATTGATTTCATCTGCTTATTTCTCCATTCTCCCACCAGATCAAAAATCAAATTGATTTTCAACACATCCATTTTCTCACAACAACATAACCAAATCCAAATAAAAAAGGGACCTTTTCTTCGTGGGTACCGTTTAATTTGGTGATTTCCCCACATCAGTACCTTCGTCGGAAAATGCTTTCCATTTCTCCGACGATATCTAAATTCTCCAATCTTTCCGACCTCCACCACCTCAATCGCGGCCGATACAGCCGCCACTCTCTATCCCATCTTGTGCCGCCGCCGCCGTCGACTCATATCCGGAACACCAAAACCCTACGTCTCCGACATAATTTCAGAATCTCCGCCATAGACGCCGCTCAACCCTTTGACTACGAATCCAAAATCTCCGACCACATTGCCAAATCCAAAACCCTAAAAATTGCCATTGTAGGGTTCGGCAACTTCGGCCAATTCCTTGCAAAAACCCTAGTCCGTCAAGGCCACACCGTCCTTGCACACTCTCGCACCGATTATTCCGCCGCCGCCGCCGAGATTGGCGTCTCTTTCTACTCTAACGCCGATGACATCTGCGAAGAACACCCCGAGGTAATCCTCCTCTGCACATCAATCCTCTCAACTGACAAGGTACTCCGTTCATTACCATTACAAAGGTTAAAACGCAGCACATTATTCGTAGATGTTTTATCAGTGAAAGAGTTTGCTAAAGATCTTTTCTTGCAAATACTGCCATTAGATTTCGATATTCTATGTACACATCCAATGTTTGGACCCGAAAGTGGTAAAAACAGCTGGAAAGATCTTCCATTTGTGTACGACAAAGTTAGAATCGGTCGTGATGAATCTAGGGTTTCCCGCTGTGAAAAATTTCTTGATTCTTTCGCAAGAGAAGGGTGTATAATGAAGGAGATGACATGCGCAGAGCATGATCAACATGCAGCAGAGTCTCAATTCATAACACATACAGTTGGAAGGATCTTGGAAAAGCTTGATTTGGATAGTACTCCGATTAACACAAAAGGGTATGAAAGATTATTGGATTTAGTTGAGAACACATCGAGTGATAGCTTTGAGTTGTATTATGGGTTATTTATGTATAACAAGAATGCAATGGAGCAATTGGAAAGATTGGATTTAGCTTTTGAATCTTTGAAAAAAGAGTTGTTTGGGCATTTACATGAGGTTTTGAGGAAGCAATTGTTTGGGACAAAGGAAAGATCTTTAGGGCTTTTACAAGAACCACGAGCTTTGTCAAAGCTTCCTCCTAATGGAAATGGATCTTCACTTCCATCTCCACCTCAATCAGATTCTACTAATTAATTGAGGATTTGCACACAAGAGTTTCCAATTCATGGTATGTTTATCCTAGTTCTAGGGTTTGATTGTATTTTAAATGTCTAAAATACCCTTAGGTAGAGAAAAATAAAGAAATCATGTGGACTTAAAATTATACAACAACTTAATCACAAATATGACCAAAGTGGTATAATGGTATGGTGTATTTTTGATCCCTTATGATTCTTGTAAAGTTTTTGGTCCCTTTTCCTAGTAAATTAACTATGTGTTAATAGCAATTCCATAATTTGCAATGGGCACATTGTTAAATTGCTTGCCATTCTTTGTAATTATTAAAAAAATGGTGATTTTGATGAATAAACCATCATGTTCATTTTTGTGATTATCACTACTATAAATGATATGACAACACACAATTATGTACTTTTAACTTGAAACTTCTTTAAAATGAAATGTTGCAATCTTTTCTACTATTTGTTCATGTAGTTACACAAATGGTTTCTTACATTTTTGTTTTTTGTATGAAGTCTTATTTGCTAATGTTGGTGTTGTGTGCTTTCTTTTGAAGGTGAAGAGCATTTTCTATGTTGTGTGATGTGTTGTATTGCTTATGAGTCAAATGGGGAAGGAGACAACAATCTCAATGCATACTAATATTTCCTCACTTGTATGAAGCTCCAATGTTTGTTATTTTGTTTTTGAGTTATTGCTATTAGAAAAGATTGCCATAGTAGGATGTGTAACTTGTGTCATTTGCTCCATTTTTGTTCAATTTATTCATATTTTCTATGATTTGTGTCGATGTGGTTGCTAGCAAGTTGAAAAATAAAATGGATAATGACTTGAAATGGTAACGAAATTTTAATTTTGTTCATATTTAGTCTTTGAACATTATTTAGATCACTAAACCATGTGTCATTTCTAAATTTGTTCAATTCACCATACATATTTCCATAGTTGTTCAACTCATCATACGTGAACGATTTTAGATCTGTAGCCACTAATTTCTCATGCTGAAGAGGCACTTCACCCTGATCAATTCCATCTTTGTTGGTTGAAGAGCACCGATTCATGTTGTTATAAGTGAACTTTTGTCAATTTGGTCTTTGAAGAAAAAGGATAAGAAATGGCAAACAATATCAACGTTAGAAACAGTTACATATGAGATCAGAAGCGAAGAAAAACTTGCTTGTACATCTACCCATGGGAGACATCAATCACATTCTTATTTGACAAAGCAAAAGTGTTGGACTTAGATATAGGGATGAGAAGAAATAAATCCATGACATTATCAACTTCCACAAAGCAAGCAACTCTCTCACACTGAAAGAACATTTCCTAATCAAGCTTAACTAGGCTTCAGCTCGATAAAGCAATCAACACTTTAGAATCAGTAAATCTGTTACCTACGTACTAATTATAACATCATCACAGTTTTTGGGATTCCATGTCATACAAAAGAATATCAACGATCATCGCTTTAAAATTTAAACTACATACTATTTACAGTTAAAAATGTGTTATTCAATAATCTATTTGTCTATCATTATAAGAAAAAAACACATTTTTAATGGTAAAGTTAAAATAAGTAAAATTAGAAATAACGCGTTCTCCAAATATTAGTTAATTATCTTTTGCACGTTCCATTTTGTTAGTATATCTTGGTCAATGAATGTAGAAGATTCCACATTATTGAATTAAGTATAATAGAAAAAAAATTGTCTGGTGGCTTTATTTTATACATAATTATTTTTTCAAAATTGGAATATTATACTATATAAATTTAATTAAGGGATAATTACTTGATAGGGTAATATACTTTTTGAAATGTACATATTTAGTTCTTATTCTTTTTTTCTTGTAAAATAAACCCTTATACTTTATTTTTTGTAACAATGCGGTCCTTGTGACAGGCTATACCCGGTATACCGGTCATATACGAATTTTCTTTTTGGGAAAATGATTTGATAGGGTAAAATACTTTTTGAAATGTACATATTTAGTCATTATTGTTATTATTATTATTATTATTATTATTATTATTATTATTTTTTTTTTTTTTTTGTAAAATAAACCCTTATACTTTATTAATATGTACACATTAGATCATTTTTACCGGATTATACATGTTTTGCTGATGTGGAAACACAAGTGACACTAAATAGCAATTAATTAGCTTAGTCACCGGAGGTGGGTGATCCTCCAGCAACAAGAAAAGGGCGGCGACCCTTCTCTTTCTCGTCTCTCTTCCTTCCGGTCGAACAACAACAACCAAACACCCTTTACCTGTTATGTTTCTCCGATTTGTCCCTCTTTGCCTCCATCTTTGAGATATGTTGCTAGAAAAAGAAGAAAGAATCGACGAGGGGGCTACCAGAGCAGCTCCTCGCCGCCAACTACCGTCTCTACTTTCTCCTGCCTCCCCCTTCAACCTTGTTGTTTTTGCCATCATTCCTCCTTGCTACCAGTGATGTGTAGGAACACACAAAGGAGTCGCCAGAGATCGGGGTTCTCCCTCTTTTTCATGATGAATAAAAGTTGGAAAAATCTCGTTGTGGATATGTGGATGCCACTTGGGTATTTCATTTTAACAAAATAAAAGAAAGAGAAAATGACTTGATTGAGTAAGATACTTTTTGAAATGTACACATTTAGTCTTTTTTTTTTTTTTTTTTTTTTGGTAAAATAAACCCTTCCACATCAGCAAAACCTGTAGAATCCGGTGAAAAGGGCCTAATGTGTACATATTAATAAAGTATAAGGGTTTATTTTACAAGAAAAAAAGAATAAGGACTACATGTATACATTTCAAAAAGTATCTTACCCTATCAAGTCATTATCCCTTTAATTAATTAAAAACTAACAAGCCAACCTATCCGTATGAACCAAAACTACCACTAATCAAGACATGTTATTATTTAACCAACAAAGCTTTCGATTTCAATTTTTCATATGATGTTACTAATATTTTTACCAAAATACTTCTAGCTCATTGGTATCTAATGATTGCCACTTGTTATTTACAATGAATTTTTGTTACTTGAAAAAATAAAACTCATCATCACGGAAGTCCAACATTAAGGCGTTTTTTTATTCTTTATTGGTTATTGGTTATTTTGTTCTCATAATTATCATATATCATTACAATGTTTGTTAACATTAGGAGGTGAAAGAAGGGAAAAAAAATATAAATGGATTAGATCAAATGCAATCCTAAAAGGGAGCTATGCATAAATTTGTTAAAACATAGTAATTCTAATGGGTCGAATGGGCATGATGTAATATACACTTTACTAACCTTGTTCAATTATCATGTTTCATATGCTTGTTAGTTTAAAAATAAATATTATTAGATATTATGTGGTTTTAAACGCTTAAAGTAGGTAGTTATAATGGAATAGAATTATATGTGTTAAAAACACCATTTTTCGATATGGTTTTGAGCGTCGAGTACTAATGAAATAGTTTTTATAAGATTTGAATTTAAACAAATTTTAGAATCATTTGGAAGGTATTGGAAGTGATGGGGAAGTCTTATGTGATTCCGATCAAAAAAGTCAACTATCGGAATTAATGAAAGTAGAACGTCTAAGTTGGAAATATGTAAAACTGATTTTATTGGAAGATCTTTTCTGGGATATTTTTATTGGAAGTTGTAAATTATCTTGTTAGAAATCTATAGGCGATAACCTCATCGAAAATGGAGTTCCGAGTGGAAAGTTATGTAATTTTTAGTGTTTAGGGGTAAAACGGGCACCCAAACCGGGTCAAACCCAACCCAACACGGGTTTTTACCAATTGAAACACGATTTTGGCTCATTTTTCTGCCATATTCAATTCCTCACCATCCCTATGGGAGATTTTCACCTACATGATCAATGTTGAACAAGTTTTGAAGATTAAATCAAGATTGTGAGTGTTCTTGAAGTATCAAGTCTAGTAATCAATATATGAACTCTTATTTGGATTAACCCTTGTAATTGGTGAGTAATTAAGAGATTAGGGTTTGATCAAAGTGGGTTTATGATATGTGCATATTTAGTGTGTATTAAGTGTAGTTTATTATTCATATATTAGCTAAATTGTTGCATGATATGGACAAAAGGTACTTAAAAGTGTTAAATTATGTTTTTCAGTCCAAAGATGAAGCTCGGAAGCGAAAGGAAGCAAGAGAAGCGGTTAGGAGCTCAAGAGTGGAAAGAAGAAAGAAAACACCCATAAAAGGCTTCTACTCGTCGAGTTGCCTCTTGACTCGACGAGTCCGGTCGCGGATTCAGAAAGATAAGCATTCGGAAGTCAAGATAGTTATCAGGTTACGACTAATGTGAGAGGGACTCGACGAGTCACCATATGACTCGACGAGTCGGATGCATATATAAAGATAACTCTACAATGCGAGAGGGGAATTCTGGGAAGTTTCAGAAGTGTTTAGCTGCGAATAAGAAGCCAGAAGAACCCTAGAAGTCGACCAAAGAAGCTAGAATCCAATCCGGGAGTAATTAAGGCGTAATTTCACCATTCTACTTAATTCTTTTGTTTTGTCAACATGATTAAGCAACTTGAACTTATTTGTTTGCTGTTATTTACCTTAGTTATGAACTAATTTCTTTAGACTTCTGTTTGGGGATACAAAGTTGACAATATGGTTTGATTGATTGGTAGGATTAATTCCAAGTTGGTGATTAATTGTTATTTTAGCTTGCTAAAGAACCTTGTGTATGAATGATAATTAATTTTCTGTTAATAGGAAGATAATTGATTAGCATGAACATCTATTGATTATCAACCTCATATGATATGTGACCACTATATCATATGTCTAGGATTAATGAATATGAAACTAGGATTAATAAGGAAATTGAGTAAACTCATGTGCAAGCTTGTAAGATGACCATCGAACAAGAGGTTAATTAAGAATAACGAATTAATTAGCTATTGCAAGTCTAACTTAACCCGAATAATTAATCTAGTAAATATAATTAAAGTTAAGCAATTGGCCACTGTTTGAATTAGTTTATTTGCTAAGGATTAGGGTAGTGAACACAAACTTAATCACTTGAATCGGTAACCAACGAAAGAATTAATCCATTGCACTATTACCTTAAAATCAACCATAAAGTTAACCGAGTTGAACTAAACAGAAGTTTCTTTCCCATTATTGAATCTAGTTAATTTGTTCTTTTCTAGTCTTGCATTAGTTTTAGTTAGTAAGTTTCTAGTCTTGTAAAACTAGAGAAAAACCCTTATTTGCTTAATCAACTTAGATAGAATTAGTTTTTAATTTAATTTGCCGTTCCCTGTGTTCGATACCCTGCTTATTTAGCTATACCACAATTGATAGGTTCACTGCCTTTTGTGTGTTATTTGATAATTAAAGTAGGATTAAAACTAAGTGAGTTTTACACACATCAGTTTACCACTGAATTCATGAAATTAAACATGAGTTTATG